GACCGTGGACGTGTGTGGGTAGCGGACAGCACCCGGGGGGGGGGGGGTTGGGGAGGCTCCATGGTGAGGCCTCCATGCTCTGTTTCTGCAAACCAGGCTGCTGTTCAGAGCACAGGAGCACCACCACTAGATCGGTTGGCACCCTGGGCAAAAAGGCGCCATGTGACCTGTACAGTATTGGTCTTCAAAATCCTCCCCTCAAGCGGCTCCTTTCCCCATTTCTGTTCTGTTTGGCAGTGCCTCTTCCTCCCTTGCCGTGAAGCCGGTTTTCCATCGGCTCTGAGGCCCCAGTGTTAGATGCTCCGGGTTAATGCTGCCCTGCGGCCTCACAGTTGCTCCTTACTTTTGCTCATTTCACATAATTGATTCTTGTTTTGTTCATCGTTAGGAAGGGCAGTGCCACAGCCTGGGTGTGGAAGCCCCCTGCCCACATGCGCTGGCCATTTGCTTTCAGCCATTTCTCTGGCTTCGGAGATTTTACCAGGCATTACCCAAACACTTTCAAGCATATACCCTCAATCATAAGGGCTAGGAACTTTTTAATTAAAAAAATTATTCTCAGAAATCTGAATTCTGCACCAGTTCGTCATTCTGCAAGTTTTTTGAGCTTTCACGCAATTGCAGTGTGCACGCAGTCTGAAATGCCCCCCCCCCAAGCCAAGGTGTCTTGAGCAGAATACAAGGCAGAGGAGAGAATGTTTGAAATCTTGCAAAATAATTAATTAATGTTGTTATTAGTAGGCGTTTTAACAACTTCCTTAATTCATTTCAATGTTATGTTTGCTTTTGTCTTTGATTAGCAGTGCCCAGAGCTTAATAAAATTACAGCTTCCAGTAGGCCTAATGTCGTGCCATTTATGGCTGTGATTCCCATAGAGTTGGCCGCAGTGAGCCACAAGAGAAGGGAAACCCAAATCTTTCAACACTCCTGTAAAACCCACAACAATCCAGAGGAGGCCACTTGCTGCCTCCCTTCGTGATGCACAACTCGAGCCTCCTTGGGACAGATGTGCTGCCTTCTGTCTCTGTGCATCAGGGGTGATCAGACCTTTCGGCATTATTTTCAGCTCTGGGAGGAGGCTGCCCCTTACATTTCTGCACGTTTGTTTTCAGGGCCTCCCTCTTTTTAATCTGCAGTCCAGCAAAAAACAGGCCATAGGTGGGTGGGCACTACTGGTTGCATACAGTTCTTAATCCATTTGGAGGGTCAGGTCTGACTTTTCCCTGAGTGTGGATCAGGGGTTGGGAATTCTGGCTGAAAGCTGAAACACAGAGGAGGACAGGTGCTCCGAAAGACTTTTAAAGGAAGCACTCCTGTTTCCATTCAGCCGCGAGAAATGAGAGAAACACTCTTGTTTTGCTCGCCGTCTTGGATGCAGATGCTGAACTGATTTACACAAGAAGCAAAGTGCAGGGATCAGCCTCCGGGGTGGGGGGTGGGGCGTGGGGGGCACGTTTGAGCATTCCACCATATACAAAAAAGGCTCCCTGCACAGAGCAAAACGGCACCTCCAGGGAGGGTGAGCTGAACCCTTGTCCTTAACAGCCTGTTTCTTCACCATGCACGGAAATCTTGTCAGTGGAGCGGAGAGTTCAGGTGTTGGGAGAGAAGGCGCCACCACCACTGGCAGTGGGATAGTTCCTGCTGGACCCTGCAGATGGGAGGAACTAGCCCGTCAGCCCTGAACGTGCAGCAGGCCACCCTGTCCGACCCCGCCTAGGGGCCAGGGGCTTCTTCCTCCAGTTGTGGCCTGGCTGCACCTTTCACTTCCTCTCTCACCAGACCTCCCTGGGGGTGGCCAGTGTTGGGGGGGCTTGGAGGTTCCATGCGTGGAGCTCCCTGTGATTTCCACCGGAGACAGTCGCTGCAGCGGCCAAGGGCTGCAAGCCCTCCTTGCGTTTGGGGAGGGGATTGTGATGGGGGGACCCCCCAGGTGCCTGCACATGCTCCCAGTGGCATCTCTGGGACTTAGAAGGGCTCAGACTCTGGAAGGGCTGCCAGCTGAAAGCCTCTGGCTTTTGACTGATGGTCCAACTAGACTCTTTTATTTGAGGTCCTGCCAAACTGGACCATGAGTAGTTTGCCTGCTCTCACTAGTGGGAGAGAATGATGGGAGGGGTCTGGCTTCTGCTTGGCCTCTTGGACTCAGGGAGGGGCCCATTCCATCGCGTGCCTCCCCTGGAGCACCTGCACGCCCCCTTCTCCTGCCTGGCTTCCCAGTCCCTTTCATGTTTGTGTAAACGAGGTAATTTGTCTGGGGCGGGGGGGGGGGGATGCCGCTGCCACAACTCCTTCTCCTGCAGAGAGCCCCCCCCCTTAGGTACCAGCATCCAGGTGTCCTCCTGTGTCCCCCACCCCGCAAAACTTGCAGATGATGGTGTAGCTGTTTGGGAGGCTCTTTGTGGGGGAACGGCCACAGGCTGTGATGCTGCCCGTTTTAGCATGAGTGTCAAGCCGGCCGGGTTGGCCTGGAAATGGATGTGGGCAGAATGGAGCCTGTCGCCTTCACTGGTGCGTGGGGGTGGGGGTGTGGGTGGGTCTGTGAATTCTGTCTCTTTAAGGCAGGCTGGCTGGTGAGCGCCCCTCTTCAACAGTGTCTCATTTTCTTGCTTGCAGGGCTAACTTTGCAGAAATTTTTACTATGTCGCACTGGCTGAAGAAGCTGTTCATCCCCCCCATGTAACCATGAAAAAAGAGGGCAGAGAGCTATTCCCCACTCATCTTTTGAGTTCTTCTTCCTTTGAGTTCTCCTTTTCTCATCC